TATATACACAGATCAATATACAGTAATAATAATACTCAGTGTCTGTGCACTGGTGTGTCACAAATATTAAAATCAGATTTTCAATGAGCTCAGAGAAACTTTCCACTTTCAGCAGATGAATGTGAAAAACTCTACACAGACATCATTCAAACATCACACTTTTGAGTGGAGGCGGACTATTGAATTAACTTTATACATGAGTTAAGCTAGTCCTGAAAAATAAGTGTCCTGATAAATTAATGTTTTAATTAGTGTTTGCAGCCCATTAACGTTCCTAACTTTACTTTACTAATATCAAACATGTTGAAACAATATTCAAAGTGTGCATCAAGGTGTTTGAACATGGCAACACTATATGATGTTTACTGGGTTGTAGAAAGGGTAAAAGTGCCCTCAAGTGGCCAAACAACAGAATACATGCAGGCAGCAATTTGATGTTCAAAAACAAAATGTGCAATAAAAGCAGAGTTACTTTGATTTGATTAGCAAATGGATTTTGGACATTTCTAAAGTTGTTGTTTCTGTGTTTGTTCTTGCAAATATGTCTGTCAGCAACAAACTCTTACATTTCCTTAACACTTTTCTGTCTCTTTACTCATTTACTGGAGCAGTTTAGAGGTATTTTTCAGGTAAATGTTGTACCTAAATACTGTACTCCATTGCATGTGCCTGACAGCTCTAACTGGGTACTTTGCACATAAAGATTTCACATATAAAACATGATCGGTTTACAAAATATGACACATTTTTATAGATTAAAATGCATAAAATCCCTAAAATAAGCCCTAAACAACCACATGCAGCACTAAAATCTGCTTACTTATTAATCCATTAATCCAGTAATAATGATTCAATATTATGGTGAATGACTCTTAATCTGAATGTGTATTTAATTTTTTAATCATAGTACTTTAACACCAAAAACGAACAATACTTTCTTTATTTAAGGAATTCATTTGAATGAACTTTTACTTCATGAGTTTCATATGTTGTCAACTCCATGCACGAGTATTTGAAGTCATCAGACGATGCAGACGTTGATAAAAAACTAAAATTATAAGAATACAAAATGTTGCTGTCATCTTTCTCTGAAGTAATTCAACTCCTATTTCTTCTCCATCTTCAGCTGAAATCCAGTTGCCAACTCATCCGCAACCCATTGCTAATTAACCTCCTCATACAGGACCTCTGTCCCAACAAAATCCCTGTCAATGAGTGGTCTTAGTTCAAGGTTGCAGCCAAAGAGTTTAATGGTAGAAGGCTTCACCTCCGAGCTGACCAGCTGCCTGCGTGGACAGAGTCGTGGATTTCTGGGACGGAGCTCTAATTAACTGGTTGGCCGGGGACCAGGACAGGAGGACCCGCCATATGGAGACGTGGCCAGACAAATTGAGAAGCACCAACCTCTGTCAGACAGCAACAATGTACAGAAAGACTCAATGAGGTCAGGTCATTTCATTATGTCCACACCACCCTGAAACAATCCCATTTTGTCCAAACTCATGGAACTAAAATTGGATCAGGATGAATTAGGAGACAAGAATGCTGCGTACGTTTGGTAAAACTGGCTGAGATTGTTCGTAACTATGGCCAAGTGGGTGAAAATGGTGACATTGTGAGGAAGGAAACAGGAGAGAGTTATAACAATCATCAGCTACTGAGGGATAAATCATGAAAAATATGTGAGAATTTGGAGCAATCCAGGAAGGGAGTTTTTTAATGGCCTTGAGAAACCAGATCAGAGTAATTAAGGAGCTCTCCTTTCACTAAGGAGCATTATGAAGGTTGCTGACCAAGCACAAAACTAGTTCAAGCATCATTTAGCAAATTATCTGAGACAGGGAGACAGATTTATAACAAAGATAGCAATCACTTACAACCTGTGTCACTACTTAAAGGTCCAGTGTGTAACATTAGAAGGATCTATTGACAGATATTGGAGATAATATTAATATTTTCATTAGTTTATAATAATAAGAATAGTTGTGTTCTTGTTACCTGTTTTTATCTACAGAGGGAGCGGGTCCTTTCTACGGAGGCCAGACAGACCATAGTTTTTCTTATAGACTTCACAGCCTATTCTCATTCCCAGGTTAGGGTTAGGGTTAGACAATCTGCAATTTCCATTTTATTTGTTGTTTTGGTTGTGTATTTATCTATTGTCTGAATATTATGAAGAATTTAAAGTTTGTTGCTCAAGGGAGAACTTGCATTTACATACATATTATTATTGTTATATTGGTGGCATTAAACCTTTATTTTTGGGACAATATATCATCCATATTGTACACAGTTGTATCTGTAGACAGCTGAGAAAGTGAAAATACTTAGAAATCATGTCCTAAACAGGATCCTACGGTGGCTGGTAAGTGCAAAACAAATGTACAAACTCTGAAACAAATTTTCAAACTCCGAAACAAAGGATCCAGCTTGCACTGGTCTCAGTTTGCACGAGAGCAATACTGGCTGGTTGTTATTATGCTCCAGTGTGACACATGCACTGTAGGATATTGCATATGTGCAGTGCAACACAAGCTCGAGAGGGCCCAGTACGTTTTTGGGATCATACATTAAAAGTTAGGAAGATCACTGCAACCTAATCTTGAGAATAAACTGCTTATTATAGAGAAATGTATACTTTTAAGTGTCACTAACTGGAAAATGCGAAAGTAATTAATAGAAAATAAAAGAACCCCACAGGACTCCGTAGAAAATAAAGTAAAAATGAAGTTATAACTATGTTTATTGATGTTTTGGGGCCCTCGGAGAAGGCGGGGCTACTACAATCTCTACGGAGCCCACACACAAGCCACAGCCCTGACGTTGCCGTAGCAACTGCCCGCGGCTTGCAATTGGTCAGACCGGGCTGTCGTTAGGTCTTAATCCTCCTTTCTGATTTGCTACATCTACTGTCAGTCTCACAGGCTGCAACGTGATTGGCTGGTTTCTGAGTTCGCGTCCCGCCTCCGTGAGTAAGCTCAGGCAGCTGCACACTGAGGCGAGCGGAGGAGGTGCTATCGTAATGCAGGGAGTAAAGGAGCTGGGGCTGCTTTGAGGAGTACAAAGTTGTTCTTTTTAATATCCTGTCGGCTCACTCTTGGGGGGCTTTGTGTAAACGTGGAATCACAGAAAGTTTGGGAGAAATGTAGGTTAGTTTCTTAGGTCGCTTTGGTCGTTTTGCTTTACGATGGAGGAACCTGCGACAAGGCAAGTGGTAAAAACCGCGACTCGTTAACGTTAGCTCCAAGTTTTTAGTCAAAATATTGTAAGCATGAAAAAGCTGTTTATTCAGTTTACCTTCACAAGCTGAGAGCTGTGGTTACAATACACTGTGAGGAGTGGGAAGTGTGTCTAAATAGTGACACTTTTGAGTAAATAATAAAAGTAATGTTGATTTGTGCACAGACAGTTTGAGATGTCCCTGTCAGACGGTGCCTCGGACGACGATTTGCCTTTAACGTTACCTACAGAGGGCAGCCAGAGTGGGAGCATCCGGAAGGTGAGACACACACACACACACACACACACACACACATATACATATAAACAGCCTACATGCATGCACACCTGAGGAGAGGGGCTGTCCACAAAGTCAAGCTGCAGATTTGCTTTATCTACATTATGCACAAGAATAACTCCTGTTACTGTTGCTCCACAGACAGATAGTTAGATTGCATTAAACAAACAAGATGTATTTCCACTAATAAAACGAGGTCTGGATATTGGGGGTGCAAAGCAGCAACACCAATAATAAAAGTATCACGGTCTCAAAAACCACTTCATTACTCCCCCACGTACCTCTGGTGGTGTCTCGTGCAGGTAGAGTTGTATTTGAGTTCTGAGAGTGAGATACAGTGGCGTTGGGAATGAAAGGTGCATCTGCAGCATGCATTGGCTGCATCCTTTGGACAATCCTCAGACCGCGCTGTTGACTGTTTTCATGGAGAGTATTTCATCAGTAGAAAAGAGCTCCAGTGAAACATGTTGACGGTGAAGTTTGTGGATTATTTGGCAGATAGTTTGACATTTTACTGCTGAAGTGACTGTGAGTTACACTTACCTAAACTATCTGTACGGCTGAATACCAGTAGGAGGGGCAAAAGTGTATTTGGTTATTTCTGTGAAGTGACCCTTTAAAAACCTTCATACTGTGGGTATGTTTGAAAAATAAAACCTGCTTTGCATCATTTGTGCTGACACTGAGACCCTATCACGCACAGTATAGTTTACAGTATATCAGGCAATATGAATGGGAAAATATGGCCACTGTTAATATCTTCTATTACTTATCAGCATGCCTGTGGTAAAGGTTCTGGTTTTATTCCTGGCTTGATGGATGGAGAAGATGAATGATGAGAGACACGGTGCCCTGTTATTGAAGCAGCAGTTGATGTCTGTGCTGCTGAAAAACAAGACATGTGCTAAGAGAAAGTCACCTGGACATCGAAGGCTTTTAGACTTTATCTGCACAGATGTCGAGGTGCCTCCATCCTCCCGCTCTCCTGGTGGTAGAGCAGAGGTGGGAGCTCGGCCAAAAGTCTAATCCACACAGGCACTCTGAGGATTACTTGACGTGAGCATGCTAAACAAACACCTTAACTGGGTGAGAGGGAACGAGAGAGATACAGGGGAGGAAGAGTGTGGGAACATGAGAAACCGTACTGTAAAGTTGGCTGCGAGAGGGATAGAGAAGGTGATGGAAGGAGCCACGGGGATAAGGAAAGGGAGTAAAGCAGCATGTTTACAGTACAGCTGCTCCATCTGTCATGTTACTGTACATCTGTTTACCTTTTAAGTGTGAAACGTGGTTGCATTGCGTGATAGACTGCTGATTTTAGTGAGCAGACGTTTAACAATGAGCTGTGGAGAAGCTGCTTCTGGTGTTGTTGGCAGAATGCCTGCTGAAGCGAGATCTAAGAGGCCTTTAAATCTTCAGAGCTCTGACATATTACCAGATCCTTTTTCTATTAAACGTATTCTCCTTCTGAGGAGAGGGTTCTCCTCCTGCTCAACCGTGCCAGGTTATTACCATGTTTAGCATCCATACGGCTCCCTCGTCCTGAGCTGTCCCCACGTCTCCGACACGCCCTTCGACACCCCCATCATCTCCGGCATGCAGCTGTCCTATCCTACATGGATTTGTTGCTCTGAAGTAAACCTTTCTGTCCACGCTGTACTATAGTGTTCTCTACAAATAAAATGCTTTAGTTCACAGGTAAAGTTAAAGTTGGGCTTAAGGCCATGTGGAATCTACCAGAAAGGCCCCATTTTATCTCTGTTTATGTACTTAATGTTTGGCAGCAGAACAACAGTCTTCACATCACCTAGTAAGATGATGAACAGCATAGTATTTGCATGAATATAAGACAGTGTTTTGGAAATTAACCTTCAAAAATGTGTCTGCCAGTCTCACACATTCTCCATCTAATCTCAGATAATTGATCTTATCCTAATTGTTGCTGTTGCTCTGTCTCTCAGGTTTGATGCTGGTTGGTTGATTAATACACTAATCATATAGAGGTTAATCCTGGTTCTGAGATTGTAAAATTTGAGAATATTGAAGCAGTTTGACATGTGTACTGTCTTCTATCTAAATAACTTAATTTCAAAAGTCTTTTTATGATTAACTCTATTTCCTATGTGACCACATTAAGAAGATACCACTGGTTGTCTTGTATTGGGTCACTGAGATAGTTCTTACTCAGCAGATACAGCTCACAGATTTGCTGCTGTGATTCATTCATTCATTCATTTCTCTGTGTTTTCTCTGCAGGGATGTGATCCTTTTGCGCAGACTCAGCGCAGTAAACTGCAGCACCGGCGAGCTCGCATCAACCAGCAGATCAACAAGGAGATGCGCATGAGAGCCGGAGCGGAGAACCTGTTCAGGTGAGGTGCTGGATGGGTCTCTATGCGGCTCTGATGATGTACATTGTTTTACACATAACAATACTGTGTGAAGTCAGAGTTAGGTGTGAAAATGTTGACATTGCTTAGCCTTATGTCTTTGTAGTTTCATCTGTTGAGGGAGTTTTCCTGCATGGACCATGTTGAAAATAAGGTCACTGAGCCAGTCTCAAGATACTGTCACCTGATTAAGAGAAGTGAAATTATGTTGATAATAAATGAAAATGAAAATCAGCAATGATGTTGGCACGTGTTTCCTACCTGTTCATGAACAAGGGTAACACATTATTAAGATATGTCTTGTCATTGTCTGTCATTTTTTAGGAACAATGTTCTCTGATGTCAGAGTCCTCTATATCAGTAAACTGAATATCTTTGGGTTGTGGATGAAACAAGACATTTGAGGATGTCACCCTGGACTTTGGGAAACTGTGATCAACATTTTCACCATTTTATGGACCAAACAACAAATTGATCAATTGAGAAAATGATCAGCAGATTAATCAATGCTGAAACTAATCATGTTTAGCGTTGTTCATGGCAGGCATTTTGATTTGAAAGGACAAACTTTCTCCTCGATCAGTTTTTCCTCTCGAAGTTTTAATGCTATTCTGGTCCCCTCCGTGCTGCTCGCTCTTTGTTAGCTCTGTCACGTTAGTGGTAGTGTCCTGTGATGGGAAAGGTCAGAGATCACTCTCCTCCAAAACACACACACACCAGCACCACCCAGTTTTATGGCTCTGTTTGTGTTCACTGTGTGTGAACACATGTGTTATGTGTCTTTCTGCGTCTGTGTCTCCTCTTCCTTTTTTCCTATTAATATGTTTTTGTACAAAACGATACTTGACCACTGCATAACTTTTTCAGCACCAGCGAGGCTAATCACCCAACTGAACTGTGCTGGCTTCGTGTTTAAAGCAGCTCGCTGTCATTCACACAGCACACAAGAGTTTTATTGGTGAAGAAATGAGGGAAATAAAAAACGACACGGTGGCAGAACATCAAAGTATTCTCTCTGAGAACATTAGCGTCATCTTGATCCCCTCCAGATTCTCTTCATCTCTCTGTGCCTTTGCGTGCTCCTTCTTTCTTTCTCCTTAACTATTTCTCAGGCTGTGGCAGATTACTACAGAGGCTTAAAGTATACATTTGATATATGTGCATACATTTGGTCTACACTTTTGTTGTGGTAGTTTTGAGAACATTTGCAACATGAATAGCTCACTGTTCAAAACTCTCTGAAAACACACTGCTGCCACTACTTTACTCATTCAGACTAAAGTTGGGAGTAGGAGGAGGAGGAGGAGGAGCCACTTCATTAAAGCAAGCAGCTACTCTCTGCCTCCTTAGTGGTGCTGTGTCAGAATCTAATTAGATCAACACAGAAAACAACAGTGTCTTTAATTAAAAGACAACCAAGGACACTCCTCGCTGTTCTGCCAGGACTGGTTGGCTGCAGCTAATAAAGATCTTTGGTCTACTTTATTATTTTCATTATTGTTTGATTCATTTACAGGAAACAGGAAAATGCTCCAAACACTAGTCAAAGTTCACATCTTCAAATCGGTTCTTTCGGTCCTATATCGTCTTTCATTTATCAGTGAAGTGACAGAAACAACTTTTTTGATAATTGATTTGACATTTTTCAAGCAAAAAACCCCAAAACATTACCTTGTTCTAGCTTTTTACATGTGCTAATTTACTGCTCTTTGTGTTATGTGATAGTAAACTGGACTGTTCTTTAGATTCTTTCAATTCACTAAAGTTTTTCAGAAAATCTGACGTGCCTTTTGAAAAACAACCCAGTTTTATCAGCGTTACTCTCAAACTGCATGACACACAGCTGGAATCAACTAAATGATTCAAATGTGATCAATCAATAATCAAAGTTGTCAATTAATGTTTAATTAATGTGGTAAATCAACTAATTGTATCAGCACTAATCTGAAGATTGGACTAATTCTTTAACAAGTAGTTAAAGAATTTCTGACTGGATTCAGGCTGTTATCCTAAAAGGTGATGACTCAGTTTAGGGGAAATAAAACAAGCGCTCCTGCCCTTTCTATTTGGACGATGGGTCACAGAGACAAAGAGGACCCACACACAGCCTGCCGGTCTGTAATCAGCCGGCTTTGTGTCCGCCTCCTGTCCTGTTCCCATGCAGAGATTCCCAACAGAGCCGCAGCAAGCTCATCCCCCACTTATTTATCTGGCACAGTCAGACCTTTTTTTTGTCTGTCCTCCCCTTTTCCGGTCAACTGGAATTGTCCACACATGCACACAAAGCTTCTCGCTTTCGCTTTCACTCCCTCTGAAACATTTGTGGAACTGGGTCGGATGAGTTGAGGAGGGGGGGTTAAGATGCTAATTACGGATGAAAGAGGGCTTGTAACTCATCAGGGTTTGTGATTGGCTGACGACGGCGTGTTTTGTTGCAGGGTGGTTCTCTCTGTGGAAATTCAGCTGAGGGGCACAAACTAGTTAAATCATGTCAGTTAGTACGGCACCAGAATATGATGAGTTACTGAAGCAACTTGTTTCCAGCTTTTCCAGACACTTCATGTCTTTCAGTCAGTGCGTACACTCAGAGTAAGAAAGAGTTGTTTTTCTCTCAAAAGCTGCAGTATGGTGTGCGTGCAAGTGGGTGTGTGAGAGAAGGGGATATTTGGCAGCCCATTTAAAGCTGACTAATCAGATTGTCCTTGGCTTGATCCTAGATATAGGTGTGTGTGTGTGTGTGTGAGAGAGAGAGTGAGGGAGGGAGGGAGGGAGTGACAGATGAAGGGAGAAGTGAAGGTAAAGTGGTCTAACTGGACAGATTAACGTTAATTACAGGAACTGAAAGGTGAGCTTTAGCTGCGTTTTTCAGCCGAGTTTGGTCATGTGTTAAAGAGTACCAACTTTCAGTTTCTCCTGGTTGTCACGACAAAAGCCAAAAAAAGCCAAAACAGTAGCAAGAGTTTAATCTAAATGCCATCGAATGAGTGATGACAGACATTTAAAACATTAGTTTATCCACCGATTATATGCTGTCTACTTACCTTTACGTCAGTTGAGAATTGGGCTCTCACTTTTTTCCAGAAATCAAGTTTGAATTTAAAATGACGTGCATTTCATTGTAATAAATTCAAACAAAACTCCTGCTGCAGCTGAGTGTGTGAATAGCAGCAGTCAGACGTAGTCGTACACTGGACGTTGCTCTGCTTGTACCTGTGGTGCCTCCTCTCTGCTGCCTTAAAGAGTGAGACGGCACCGAAGCACCCTGCTTCTCAGGTGCTTTGGTGTCTCGAATTGTCCGCTCAGGATGGCTTTGCTCTGTGCTTTGTTCGCTAGTGTCTTCCATTTTTATTGGAAATAACTTAACATGTCTAGCTTAGGGCATGCTCATAGTGGAGTGTCTTCAGCTGGATCACAAGGCAAACTACCTCAGACGGTCTGTTGTGCTAGAGTCAAAAACTTAGGATGCATCCAGGTCTCAGGATGCAAATCCAATTGACAGGAAGCTTGATAAGCCTGGCATTTTGGTGAAAGGCAAAGGTCTTGTGATGAAGACGCTGGATAAGTGTACATATTCACCGTCAGCACAGCGAGGGAAGTGTTGCGTGTATTGTTTATCTATGACCCAAAACACAACCACACTTTCCCAATTCTATGAATTTGTCATAGTTTGACCCTTAACAGTTCATGTGTATCTTTCCTCCCCAAAATATTCCACCTGGTGATGCATCTAATGACTCATCCAGCACCAAGACTTTAATCTTTCTTTTTATTAGATAAAACTGAGCTCTGAACTAAAGCAAACTGTCTATCAGTGTTTCCCATATATAGACTTTATTCAGGCTGCTTTGTGTCTCTTTATCTGTATGTATTATTCATCCCCCTCTGGAAAGTGTAGATTTACTGAAAAGTCTGCCAAAATGATGCATTAATGTGCAAAATATCACGTGTCTTTGTAGATTCAGTGCCATTTTGCATCCCTCTTCTTGCCAGCGCTCAACCTGAGTCTGTTAATCACAGTTTGTTGTCATCTTGTACATTCCCTCTTTGTGCTGTAGACACACAGAGAACTTTGAATTTAATGATTGCATAATAAGGGGGAGTTCCTGGACCACGTTTCCAACGAAGTGTATATCATCAGTTACCACGGAAACCCAGTGCTGCCTCAGATTTCCAGGAACATTGTGTCTCATCGACCTCAGACCCCCACGGCAGTGTGACCTGGCTTTCATCAGCACTGAGACCCGCCCCCTCTGAATGAACAGAGCTGGTGGAGGAGAGGGTGGAGAGATGAATAGTTGCATGAATTAAAGGTTCACTGCGTTTATGGCGTCTCGCTTACGCCATGAATGAAGACTTACACCTGTAAGGCAGTTTTCAAGGTGGATTGTGTTTTTTGTTATGCTAAGCAAAAAGGACACCCAGTAACACAACGTCCTCTGATATATGGCTAATTTGTTGTCTTTGTATGGGTAGGTTAAGGCACTGTCCTACTATATGAATGTCAGATTTGTTTTGTTTTAGTCAGATCTCAGTGTTTTTCACTCTCAAACGTCAAGGATCAGTAACACGAGCAATAGGTGTCAAACAGTCGAAGAAGGGAGATGGATAACTGGTTATTCAGTTACAGTATATATTATAAACCATCAAAAGAAAGAAATAATTAAATGATATAACAGTTGCCTCACACCAGCTGAATAAGACTAAGTTTAATTGCCTTGTTAACACATTGTAAAAAACAAATCAAACTCAACATGAACTCCCCTCTCTGTAAGTCTCTCCACTCTGGTTTGGTCGTATTAAATCTTTAGGTTTTTAGGTTCTTTATGGGGATGTGGAGACTTTAAGGGGTGGCAGATATATATGTTGATTTAATTATGACCACAAACCTCAATATTTGCTTTGAAAAGCTGAGAGGTTAAGATATTTTAACTTTAAAAAATTACTGTGACAAATGAATAAAGCATTGAATATAAATATCTAAAGTTGGCGTTAGAAATCTGGTTGTTTAGTCCAAAATGTGGCCATAACAGATCATTCAATTCATTTTCATTTTTAAACACATTATTGTTTAAATGTATCTGTTAAATCTGACAGCATTGGACACCAAACTGGGGAGACAAGGCCCCCCTCTAGAACCACCAGCTCTCACATCCCCCTGTCACAGTCTGTTGGTGTTGATGAAGGCTGAGGTCTGATGTGTGTGTGTGTGTGT